GTCCATGGGGTTGCAAAGAGTCGGACATGACTGAGCGACTGAACTGATAGACCAAGTGGGGCTTCCCAGGTGGTGCTGGTAGTAAAGAGCCCTCTTGCCAATGCAGGAGACTTAAGAGACGTGGGTTTGATCCCTGGGTTGGGAAGATCCCCTGGAGGAGGAGATGGCTCCCCACTCCATTATTCTTGCCCGGAGAATCCCATGGACGGAGGAGCCTGGGAGGGTGCAGTCCATCAGATAGCAAAGAATCGGACATGCCTGAAGCGACTGAGCACACCACAGGACACAGACCAAGTGACGTGGCTGCGTCTATCACAGTCTGACTTTGCCTCTCTCTTTTTAAAAAAAACGATTGAGTTCTCTTCCTAGTCATTTAAAAAAATTATTTTATTTCTTTATTTCTGGCTGGCTGTGTTGAGTCTCCGTTGCTGTGTGGGCTCTTCTCTAGTTGTGGCAAGCAGGAGTTACTGTCTAGTCACAGCGCATGGGTTTTTCATTGCAGTGGCTTCTCTAGTCGCAGAGCATGGGCTCTAGGACTCGCAGACTTCAGTAGTTGCAGCTTCCAGGCTCCAGAGCACAGACTCAGTAGTTGAGACACACAGCTTGGCTGCTCACGTCATGCGAGATCTTCCCAGATCAGGGATCAATCCCATGTCTCCTGCATTGGCAGGCAGACTCTTTACCACTGAGTCACTAAGGAAGCCCCTGATTTTGTCTCCTGATAGGAGGAACCGCAAAGCATCGTGGCCACTTTCATGTATGCAGTCTAGGTTAATCTTCTTTTCTCAAGAGTTGTAAATTTCATCACATTCTTTTTACCATGTAAGGTAATATAGTCACAAGTTCCAGTGATTAGAATGGGAATTTCTTTGGGAAGCCATTGTTCTATCTCCTACAAGGTTGTCTCCAGATGTTGGCTACCATGAATTTAGCCACTATAAACATTTGTAAAAGTATTTGTGTGTTTGTGCCTGTATGAGTGTGTACACTCATGAAGTGTTTACTTCACTGGGATAAATGCCCAGGAGTGCAATTACTGAGTCATATGGTACTGGTTCATTCTGTTTCATAAGAAACTGCCGATCTGTTTCCTAAAGTGGCTGGAATACTTTACATTCCTACCACGGTGTATGAGTGGTCCAGCATATCTGCATCCATGTCAATATTTGGTGTTGCCACAATTTTCAGAGTTTAGCCAGTCTATTAGATGTGTAGTGATATCTCACTGTGATTTTAATTTGCATTTTAACACTGGCTCTTTTCATGTGGATGTCGATTTTTAAAAAGAGATCAGTATCATGCCTAACTCAGTGTTGCTAACGTTCAGTGCAGCGTTTATATTGAGGAATTAAAATTTTTACTGCCAGCAAGAAGGGGTGGGAAATGCCAGGAAAGGCCTAATTCAGCCCTACAGGGAGTGATGGATGCATCTCAGTGCGGCAGTGGCATGGCTGCCACTCTCTGTGGCCAGGGACCTTGGCCAGGGGATGTCAGGCATCTGGGAGTCACTCATTAATGAGTCCGCTCAGAGCCGGCGAAGGGAAAGAACTCGCCTGAGTCACAACTCCGTGGCCATGCTCGGCCCAGGCCCCGCCCCGCTGGTAACCCCACAGGTGGGGCGCGGCCGGATGGGTTTCCCCGCACGGAGCCCTGTTTCCCCACCATCAGGAGGGCAGGCGTGCAGCCGCCGCGAGGGGGCGCCGCAGAGCCTGGAGGCGACTACCAGAGGTGCCATGGCGTCTCCGGGTGTCTTCCAGAGCGGCAGCGGCTGCCTGGGCCTCCTGGTCTGGCTCCTGGCCCTTCAACCTTGGCTCAGTGAGGCCCTGGTGGGCGGGGAGGGGGCGCTGGGCAGGTCAGCTCTGCCCTCACCCTCTCCACCTACCTCGGGAGGCAGCCGCAAGGACCCCGGAGCACGCCGTTGGAAGCTGCCTCCTCCAGGAGCCCCGGGAACTTCCAGGGCCCCTGAGTCCCGTATGACTTCGGTAGCCCCCAATTTCGTGGCGTTTACCTTAAGTGACTCTGATTCATACAAGGATGTGACACCTCCACAGGCCCCAGGAGTGACCAAAAAACCCGCCTTTCCTTCAGGTGATGTTTCCTAGCCAAGCCCTGTGGCAGAGAACTAGCCCGTGTGAGGGGCAGGTGCCCCTGCCCTGGGGGAGGATACTTTCAGGGGGCACAAATTTTCCCTGGGCTATTTGAGCGGACCCAGCTCTGCTCCTGAGAGCTGAGAGGACATGGCCATTCTCTGAGGAGTCTTAGGGGAATACAGACCTGACCTGGGGCTCGGAGGGGACATGGCATTGTTTGGAGGGTTCTGAGACTTACGAGGCTCATCAGGCTCTAGTAGCGGTGGTATCAATGGCTTTACGTTCAGTCCTCTCCCTTCATTGACCTGCTCTAGCGTGTGGCCGTCGGACTTCGAGGGTAACTGGTGGAAGGCCAGCCGCAGAGAAGAAGTGGCCATGGCAGGTCAGTCTGCAGATCCATCAAAAACACATATGCGGAGGCTCCCTCGTTGCCCGTCAGTGGGTGTTGACCGCGGCCCATTGCATATTTGGGTGAGTTTTGGGGGCTCTGGGCTTTTGGCTTCAGGTCAGGCTCTGTGGCCTGGAGCCTATCCTAACCCCTTCCTGAGCTTCCTCTTCCTCATCTGAACAGGGGTTACAGTCCCTGACTATAGCTCTTCAGGCTATAGTCAGAAGTAGGTAATGTTAGGGCCCTGGATAGGCTGGAAAGTCAAAACCCCAAATCAGGTTCAAAGCTACTTTTTTTTTTTTTTTTAAAGCCTATGCTGATTAGCCTTCAAGTCAAGTGGCAAGAAGTGGGGAGAGATGCCAGTTGGGAAACAATATGTGTGCAAAGACTTGCAAGAGGAAATATTTAAGGGGAGTGGACTGTGGCTGATCAATTTGGCTTTACTTTCAGTGGTTTCAAACTTTAATGAGCATGGGTACACCCACAGAACTTGTTAAAACAATAACTGTGTGTCTCCAACCCCAGAGTTTCTGATTCAGTAGGCCAGGAGTGGGACCTAAGAATTTGTGTTTCTACCAAGCCCCCATGTGATGTCAGTGCTGCTCATCTGGGGACCAAACTTTGAGAACCACTGGTTCAGGGGTCTGGGAAGGGATGTGGTCTGGAGGGAGGGAGGAGACTGATGAGTGGCTTTGGAGATAGGACCAGGCTGGGAGCCTAGAAGATGTGGGAGTGTAGAGCTTCCTGGATCTCTCTGCAGCCACGTGGAATACACAGTGAAGATGGGAGACATATATTTGCCGCACACCTCCCCAATGGCAGTCACGGTCCCAGTCCAAGACATCGTTATCCACAAATATTTTAATCCTGTCGGAGTGATCGAAAATGACATTGCTCTTGCTCTGCTCGCCTTCCCTGTGAATTTCTCCGCGAGTATCCAACCTGTGTGCCTCCCTGAAAAGGCTTTCATGGTCCAAGCTGGTACAGAGTGCTGGGTGACTGGATGGGGAAAACTAAGGGAAGAAGGTGAGACTGTGAAGCAAGATGGCAGCAAACTTGGGCTAGGGAAGGGGCTGCCTGGTGCCCAGGTGTGGGCCTCCAAGCTAAAGGGAGAGACAGGGAGGCAATTTTCTAGCAAGTAGGTAAGGGAGGAGGGTGGAGAAGATGCTGGTGGGAGTGATCTGATGGCATTACAAATTTTTGTTAGTATGTCAGGACCTGGGGGCTTGAGCGACAAGCAAAGTGGGTTCTCTACAGGGTGGATTTTTAAACTCAGGGGATGTTGATCTGTCTGCTAATCTGAACTGTCCCAACTGGAAGTACTTGTCTTGGTGGATAGGGAGCTTCCTGTGACTGAGAAGAGGCCATTGAATGCCTCTGGAAGAAACTGTAGAGACTTCTATCCCTGGGGAGAGGGTGGATTTGGTACTCTCGGGACACTATGTATCTCGAGAGTCTGATCCTGCTCTAAACTAAAAATACTTTACTGATGGACAGGACACCTGTTGCTATTACTAACAATGCTCAGAGTGACAGATATTTAGTTTTGACTTCTCAGGTTGCCTCTATCAGTTCTTCTCTACCTGTCTTGATTTTGATTCTTACCACCCCTCTCACCATGTCAGTTCTGGGTGTCACGTCCTGTAGTGTCAAACGGGAACAATATCCACTGCCCCTAAGAGGGTGTCTGTATGTGAACACACTGTATTGAGACCCAGAGTGGGTATTGGGGGCACCTGTCTTGTCACACTAGGCAGATATAAACTACTCCTAAATTCTCTCTACAGACACATCACCAGATTCTCCAGAACAACTTCAGGAGGCTGAGCTAAGCATTCTTCGCTATGAGGCTTGTAATGAGATACTCAAAGAAAAGATGGAAAGTCACTTAAATATGGTCAAGGAGGGGACTGTCTGTGGCACCAGCACCAGTGGAAAGGACGCCTGCCAGGTGAGTTCGTGGGCCCTTTTCTGCTTTTGCGTTTTGGTTGTCCCCCTAGACGTTCCTGATCCACGGGCGGTAGGACCTACATGATCTGGCAGTGCCTCTCTCGCCTGTCTTCAAGTTGAGGGTTTAAGGGGACAAGCCACCAAGTCTCTGCTGGGCTGGTCTGACCTGATGCTTCAGTAGAGAGGACCTGATGCTGCCTAGAGGGAGACGGGGTGGGGGAGGGGAGATTCAGGCATGAAATACCGATAATACAAGTCACGTGTTATAACCTCTTCTAAATGACAGGCAATGTAAACAGGTAAGGATTTCATTCATTATTAATATCTCAGAGTACATACATTTTCTTTGAGACTATTCAGTTTTTGGTATAGACTTTATTGATGACATACACAACTTTGGTAAATGTTATCAATTCTCAGATCTCATACACATGGAAACCTGGGGCTGGGGGAGCCTTGTGGTGCCTGGGGAGCCCCATGCACGTCCATCCTCCCAGTGCCTTGCAGTGCGACTAGGCTGTTATGACGTTGTCCTCTTCCATCACTGTGTTTGTTTCTTTCTCTTTATCTAGGGAGATTCTGGGGGTCCCCTGGTCTGTGAATTTAATAATTCATGGGTCCAAGTGGGGATCGTGAGCTGGGGCATTGGCTGTGGTCGCAGCGGGTATCCAGGAGTTTATACAGAAGTGAGTTTCTACAAGGATTGGCTCATTGCTAGAGTGAGTCAGGCCTCTCATACATATTCAATGGGCTACCTCAGCCTGACTCTGTGTCTGGTGCTGCCTTGGAGCATCCTGCTGACCCCATGATCACCCTGGTCATGTTTCTTCCAGTTTCTGAGTCTTGGACTAGCACTGCCTCTGACCTCTGACTCCTCAATCCCTGTCCTCACTTTCATTTGGAATCCACTGGCCGTGTGGAGCTCCACATGACTGAGAATGAAAGCAAGAAGCCTTGAAAGTTCCCCAGCCTGCTGCTCCAGGAAAATACCACTTCCAAATACACCTGGGTTGTGCTAGCCTGCTGAGGAGTGGCTGAAACAATCCCAGCTGATGGACAGTGACCTGCCAGGTGATGCTTCATGAATCTAGGACAACATCTTCACATCATCCCTAGCAGCAGCATTGTCTGACACTTTATCATATCAGTAAACATGGTGATTGTTAGGATAGAGCGAGGCCTCACCATGTCCACATGTGACTCAGTTGTCTGGCTTGGCGAAAGGTCCCCTGCTTCCCGATGTGGATCCATCTGTGAGGGTCCAGCTTCTGCCACTCAAGCCTTCCTGGGGCAACTCAGTCTTGGAACCCCCTTTCCAGAGCTCCAGTGGCCACATCCAGGCTCACCCCAAGTTGTGTTGAGACATTAAGGAGGGTGGAGATTTCTGATGTCAACTCAATAAATGCTTACAGAGTCTCTTATGTGTTGTGAAGCTCTGCTCTTCTGAAGGTTGTGGGGTTGCATATAACATGCTATAGAGAACTAGTTTCCCATTTAGCTGAGGGACCTTTCATGGTGTCCATTACTCTCTAGAAAATGGGAGATGAGGAGCCTGTCTACCTGGATGGAAGTCTGATGGTGTCTTAGGCAGTGGGTCCAGCGGCCTCTTTTAGGCATTAGTGTTCCTCTTGTAGGCGTCAGCATCGCTCCAAGTGGGGCTGTTGGAACTGAGGTTGGATGGGAGCCTGGAGGCAGGAAGGCAGAGATGAGGGCCTGACCCACTCACACAGCCTTGTACCTCTCGTGCTGCCCCATAAGGGACATGCCTGGAGGAGACCCTGTGGTCCTGGTGACAGGACACCTTGAACGCAGAGAGCTGAGTTCTCACAGGCTTAGGATGGAGGGTCTGGCTCTGTGTGCGTGTGTGCGGCGTCTCAATCAGCAGACGTAGGGGCCCGTAGTCACCTGGACTGGCTGCTGATCTTTCCCCAGGCTCTGTGTCCTGTCCACTCATCCTTCCTTGGTCTGTGTTCAAGCTTCCAGATATAAGTGGACCTCAGAGGAACCCTGGGCTTCCCAGGTGTCTCATTGCTAAAGAATCCGCCTGCCGGTGCAGGAGACGCAGATCAGATCATGGGTTGGGAAGATTCCCCTGGAGTAGGAAATGGCAACCCACTCCAGTATTCTTGCCTGGGAAATCCCATGGACAGAGGAGCCTGGCAGCTACAGCCCATTGGGTTGCTGAGAGTCCGAGGTGACCAGGTACACACAGTTATATTCTAGTACGGTTATTTGCAGAAATGAACAATCGAGCGGACTCGGAGGCCTGCGTCTGGCTGTTCCATACCATTCTCACATGCAACTTTCTTTCAGAACAAGCTCCCCTGTTCTTTCCAGTGATGTTCTGTTGCTGGGGATGTCAGTGTGGCTCCTCATTTCCCATTCTCTGCCTCCACATTGGCTGAGACTCAGTATGAGCACTGAGTCCTCCCCAGAGCGTCTCCTGTGGACGACCCTGGGTTGTGAAATGTGGTTTCTCCTGGGCTCCCCTGACTCTGGTGGCCCTGGGCAGGTTCCCTCCTCTGGTTTCCTCTGGGGGACATTTTGTGCCCAAGGTTAAGAGACTCTGTGTCTTCCTCGTCAGTCTTCCCCCTCCCAGCTCCAGGTTTCAGATGGAGCAATGTGAGTGAGTGAGTGAATGGAAAGTGAATACTGACGTCTCTTCTGTCACCTTACTCCTTTCTCTCAGGGCCTCTCAGCTCATTGCTCTGCCCCCTTTTCCTTCCCCGGTTGTCTTTTCAAAGAGGGAAGATCCCACATGGGAAGCAGCTGTTACAGCCCCTGCTGGAGGAGAAGTCCCGAGCCCTGGGAAGTCTACAGCCTCAGTGTGCGTGCACTTTGTTTGCTGTTAGTAGAATGTTCTTCCTGTGGTGGGCATGGGATTTCATTTCAAGTAACTCCGATACTGAGCATCAGCCTCTAGGTCCTAGAAACGTCAGGCATGGCCTCTCAGAAATGAGAGCAGCAACTTCCAGTGTAATGGGAGTCATTTTTACCCTTTCTGGCAAATATACACGGACTTTCTGTTTTGAATCAGGGAGTAGGCTCTGAGCAGAAATAAGATGTGGGGCTCAGGTGGGAGGGAAGAGGTGGTCATTAGGATGACCCTTAGGTCAGGGCTTGGTGGCTGGATAGAACCACTCTCTGAAAGAGCTAGGTAACAGGGACACGAGGAGATTTGACAGGTAGGAAGTGAGTTCTAGTAAAAATATTGGGCTTCAAAGAATAAGGACACAAAACCCAATACAAAATGCTGCAGGTTTCCAGTCATAAGGAGTACTGAGGCATACCGATGTTTGTTTCTAATGCCCAAATTGTGGTTTGAAATAATAATTTTCTACCCACAGAAACCAGGGCTTCTTGGAGAAATGGCTTGAGTAATGTTCAGGAGTGGGCCAGGAAGTGTGTGTATTCACCCTGAAATATCCTGTCACACCAGATGGTGAGCAAGGTCTCCAAATGACAAGGATCTTAGGATCATGTCCAAAGGACTCAGGAGCTCAGTGGTGAAGTGTGGCATTTCTGCTAAGTCACACCTGTTCTTCAGCATTTGTGAATACGGTTATAGCTCCCTCACTGGCAAGTGAGGGAGCTTCACTCAAGATGACAAGCTTTCACAGCAGGTAGCCCATGTTAAACGTCTGTCTGTCAAGCAGGAATGTGAAGGCCCAGCCTCCTTGCCTCCTTTTAGGACAACTTGGAAGGGTATCTTGAGGATCAGCTGAGACCTCAGTTGCAATGCCATTACTGCTAAGCTTCTCCTATTGCCCAGTTCTGCCTCACTTGCTCCCTTCCAGGTGTGAATCCTCCCCAGAGCACTCCTCAACAAACCCTGGCATACAGATCTGTCTCAAAGTGTGTTTCTAGGGGACTGATCTAGGACCCTTGGCCAGGCCAAGGTAGGACAATCTGATTTTTGCTAAGTGTTTTAGTTACATATTGCTGGGGGACAAACCACCCTCAGACCTCATGGCCCAAATCGTCAGGTTTCTTGTGGCGATACGTTCTATGAAGCAGCTCTGAGCACTGAATTAGCCACCTCTGAAGAGCTGCTCCTCAGGCAAATGCAGGATTAGACTCCTGGGAACCTCTGATCACAGCATTTTCACTAAGTGATAAAAAGGCAATCTTATTTTATGTTTCTTTTTGCTTAAAAGCACTTTATTTAATACACTCCGTTGATTCAGTGCCATTGAACTCGTGGCCAGCAGCAGTGTGGTTCATAGCTGTGTGGAGGTGACCTGACCCATGTGTTTTCTCTGCAGGGCTCCCAGGCTGGAGCCCTCAGGGGAACTGACAGCACTCCAGCGGTATGGGCAGGGCCTTTTCAAACAGTGACATCACCAGCCAATCGCACAGAAATGCAAAAATATGGCAGTGAGTAGACTAGGAGTGGGACATGTTTATAATATGAGAGCTGAAACAAGAACACTCAGCAACATCTTTGGTGTCTTCAACTAAGAACATCACTTGCACTATATCTACTACAAAATGTCCCGTCATTTTCATTTTTTTCCTCTTACTTTTTTGAGAAATTTTCTGATATTGTACTTTGATCTTCTTGTCTTCATGTTTCTTTGATGTTCGTTGAGCTTTTTAGATCTCTGAAGTTACAGCTTTTATCACTTTTGGAGAGTATTTGCTATTTTTTCTTACAATATTTTTGTCTCTTCTGTCTTGAAACCCTTTGGAAGTTCGGTGACCCATATATTAGTCCCCAGCTCACAGTGCTCTGTTTCTTTATGCTTTCTTACTGGTGTTTCATTTGAGATTTGTTCTTTTAATTGTAATGCCCTTGATTTCATTAATGGCTTCTTCTAGATGTTTATTATGGTGTTAATCCCATCATAGTGTATGTTTTTCACCTCACACATGCAGGCTTTTATATCTAGAGTTTGATTGGAGTCCCCTTACATCTTTAGCATGTCTACCTAACGTTTGAGTATGTATGTAGGCCTCAGTCCTAGTGGCTGTTTTACTATTCTTGCCTGTGCATTTAATGTTTGTGTCAGTTCTGGGTTTGTTGTGATTGATTGACTATTGCCTTGATGGGTTGTATTTTCTTGCTCCTTGAGTGGTGAGTATTAGGTGATTAGATACCAGACATTGTGACCTTTTCCTGGTGTTTGATATTTTCCTAGAAATATTCTTGGGCTTTATTTGGGGATGCAGTTAAATTCCTGGGAAATTCTCCCCACTGTGTGTCTGCAGGGCAGCCTTGAAACTGTCTTAGGCAGTCAGCAGAGGCAGTGTAGGGCTCACTCACTCAATCAGCAGTCTGTCTTTTGTGGCCTGGTGTCCAGTATCTTGAAAAGGGTTGTTTCATATTTTTGTCATATTTTGGCTTTTTGAGGCAGGAAGGGCAATGCCTATTGGTCTCTCTTGGCCATAGGACAGTTCACAGAAGCATTTAGTAGTCTTTAAGGATTAAACATATGCTTAAGTTGCTTCCCTTTTTTCATTTTGTAATATGTTTTTTCTCTTGTTTTCTAAAATGTTGTCTCTTATTAAGCTTTTCAAAGAACAGAGTTCATATTGTGTCAGGCTTCTCTGTAATTTTTCTCTACTTTATTTTTTCCTGTTCCTGTTTTTCATTATTTCCTCTTCTCCCAAACTTTTTCACTGAGTTTACTCTATGGTTTTTCCCCATTTTTAGTTGAGTTAGCTCATTTGTTATCAGTTGTCTTTGTTTTCTGATATAGTCATGACTATAAATTCCTTTCTTGGACTAGTATGGCTGTATCACATGCAATTTCATAGGTAATGCTTTCCTTGGTATTGATCCCCAAAATGTCAAATTTCCCTCATGATTTCCTAATTTTTTAAAAAATAATTTCCTAATTTTTAAAGGAGGACCATTATCTAGAGTTTTGGCTTTGTTTCAGGAAGAGTTTTTTTTTTTTTTTTAAAGTTGATTTTCATGTTATTGATGTGTGGCTCATGAACAGAATCAACACATTGATTCCTTGAGATTACTGATTTTCTTGAGGGCCTTGATTCTGAAAGTTCTCTATGTGTTCAATAAGAATGAGAGTTCTCTGTTGGTAGTTGTAAAATTCATCATGGTGCAGTTAGGTCTAGGTGATGAGTCGGGAGAGTCAAATAGTCTATATATTTGCTTAATTTTGCCTATGTATGTTGTCAGCTTCCCAAGAGTAGTATATAAGAAGCCCCAGTTGCCATAAGTTGGTCTTATTTGCTTTACCTTTTAAAGGCTTGTCGTTGCATCCTCCTCTTCATGTCTTGTTCTTACTGTAATTCCCCTTGTCCCTTATACAACCTTTGCCTGAAATGCTTCATCTAATAACCAAATTGTTACTCCTAGCTTTTTTTTTTCTTGCACCAGTGTGACCTGGCATTTCCCTTTCTATTCCTTTATTTTCCATGTGTCTGTATCTCTTTGTATAAGTTTGTCTCTTCAGAGAGTCTATTTCTGGACCTTGCGTTTTCCTCCAATATGAAAGTCCTTTTGTTGTCTGGTATGTTTTACTCATTCACATGTATTGCAGATGCTACTATATGCAGACTCAAAACTGCTATTTTCCCCTGTATTTTCTATTTACCATACTTTCTTCTTCTTTTTTTTAATCTTTAAATCATTCATTGGGCAGATTGCTTTTCTTTTCTTTTTTTAAAGGGTTCCTGTGGTTATATCACGCTGAGGGATAGAATCCAGAATATCTCTAAGGTGAAGGACTTAATTATATGTTCAGGAGTCTTAAGAACACGAGTTAGAATAGGTCTTTGTTGAATAAGCTGGAGGGGAAGATCTTGGAGGAGCCTCTCTGGGATTCGCACCGTGGTCTGGCCATGCGATCCCGCCAACAGGAGGGCAGGCGCGGAGCCTCCGCGAGGGGGCGCTGCAGAGCGCAGAGGCGAGCAGAAGTGCCCATGGCGGCCCCAGGTGGCCCCTGCTGTGGCGGCGGCTCCTTGGGCCTCCTGGTCTGGCTCCTTGTCTTTCAGCCTCTTCTCGGTGAGGCCCGGGTGGGCAGGAATGAGAGGAGACTGGTCTTGGGCTCCTCGTCTGGGGGTGGGGGTGGGTAATGGGATTCGGCGGGTGGGTCGTGGGGGAAGGGAGGTGGGGTTTGAGGGTGAGCCGGCTGCTATGCCAAGAGCCCAGTGATGGGTGGGGTGCATTCTGGTCAGCTCCTCTTCGCATTGTTCTTTCATCTTCCCCAGGTGAGGGTGACGGACCCAAGCAGGCTTCTACAATGAGCCCCACGTTGCAGGGGGCCCCGTCAACTTCAGGACGCCCGAAACCCGTGAATGTTTCAGCACACGCTGTATTTCCTGTGCCTCCCATAACTCCAGTGGGGGGAGACTTGGAAACCTGCACAGACTCCCGCTTTTGAACCGCTGCCTCCTGAAGGTGCCGCTTCTGTGCAGGATGGCATAGGCCTGCCTGGAATCCCCTGAGGCATACTGCCTGGCTGGCGGGGTGCAGAAGGGTCAGGCTGTCCTGGCAGAATTGAGAACAAGCCTGGCTCTGCCCTGAAGCAGGGTGGACGTGGCGTCGGTGATGTTAGAGGAGGTGGACGTGGCGGACAGGGTGGCGGTCTTAGAAGGGGGGCAGCAGCTTCACCTCCAGTCCTTCTTTTTACTGAGCCCAGGAACATGTGGCCATCGGGTTATGAGGATAGTTGGCGGAGTGCCAGCCCCAGAGAGAAAGTGGCCTTGGCAGGTGAGCCTGCAGATCAACAATGTCCACAAATGCGGAGGTTCCCTCAGTACGTTGGGTACTGACGGCAGCTCACTGTGTATGTGGGTAAGTTTTGGGGTGGTGGGCTTAGGCTGCCTGACAAGGAGCCAGGCCTGCCCCCTACCTGAGCCCTTACCCAATCTCTCCGTTCTTTACCTTAAAATGAGGTCACGGCCTCGAGTTTGTATTCACTCTTGAGTGAAACATGAGTCTTGGATTTCTACCAAGATCCCGGGTGCTGTTCTGTGGTCCTGGGACCTCACTCGGAGAATCAGTGACTCCAGTGGTTAGGGATGAGGAGGGGATGTGGTTTAGAGGGAGGAAAAGGCTGATGGCTGGTAGGAGATGGGAACAGGCTGGGAAGAACCTGGAAGGGATGGAGGGGCATGTGGCCCCTCCAGCATCGCTGTGAGGGGCTTGTTGTCTTCCCACAGCTATGAGGAATATACAGTGCGGCTAGGAGATACATTGTTACAGTTGAATTCCCCAAATGCAGTGGTCATTCCAGTTGAAGACGTCATTTGCTATAGCCACTATAATTCTCACACTATGAGGCATGACATCGCCCTTGCTCTGCTGGCCCTCTCTGAATTATTCTGCGTACATCCAGCCAGTGTGCCTCCCTGGAGAGGATCTTGAAGTGAAAGCTGGGACACTGTGCTGGGCGACTGGATGGGGCCGAACTTTACAATTTGGTGAGACTGGCTGGCAGGATCTGAGGGGGGATGTCTGATGCCCTGGGGTTGGCCTGCAGGCTGAAGGGAGCCCATCGGCACTGCCTGTCTCGGAGTCTGTGACCCTGCCCTGTACAGACACCTGTCCCTGCTATTGCTGATACTCAAGAGTGACGACACTCGCTTTGGTATCAGGCCTTGGAAGAAGCCTTGTCTCTTTGTGTCCTGAAACATTCCTCCTTCTGACTTGGCTTTGCTTGTTACCTTGTCTGCCCCCCTTGTCAGCAGTTAGCCTCAGGTCCTTCTGTGTTAAATGGGACAAAAGTCACTGTCCTTCCTTTTCTAAGAGGAAAAGACTGTGAATGCCCTGATCAAGACCCACTGTGGGATCTGGGGGACCCTGCCCTGTCCTATTCATACGGATCCACTTATTACTGAATGTCTCTCTGTAGAGCCATCACAATCACCTACTCTTCAAGAGACTGAGCAACTCATTCTTCACTACACGAAATGTAGTAGGATGGTCAAGAAACAGACAAATCCATTTCCCAAGGTAGTTGGTAAAGGAATGATCTGTGGTTATCATGAAAAGAGTGGAGGTCCCTGCAAGGTGAGTTGATGGGTCCCTTGTCATCTCTGTATTGAGGCTGTGCAGTTTACTCATTCCTCAGTAGCAGGGCCTGGGTTATTTCCTACCTCCTCTTTCAGCCTTTACTTAAGGAGATTCAGGGGAGAAACCCTCAAGACACCTCTAGCAAGCCTGGCCTGTTCCTCCAATAGGGAGCAGCCCTCCCATCCTGGGGGTGCTGCCAGGGTGTGGTGAAGTTGGGGGTGATGATAATCATGTAGTTCCTGTAACTGAGTTCTTTCTATTTGCACTTCCTGTGCCAGTGTGAGCATTCACCCACGTTAGCTCAGTTTCCCAGCTCACAACCCTGCCACCTAGACTTCTACATCTTATACAGATGTGGGCCCTCCGGAGACATAAGTTCCAGGTCCCCCTGGGAGTGCCTGTAGGAGCCCTGGGCCCACAGCCTTCCTGAGCAGGGGACAGGGGACAGGTCTCAGAGCATGAGTGTTTGGATTCTGGCAGGAGGAGAACATCACTGGTGGGAGAGGGAGCAGTGAGTCTGAGGCTCAAGGTCTGAAGCACTGGGCATGTTTAGGGAATGGGTTTCAGGTCTGGAGCAATGAGGAGGCCAGTGTGGCCAGAGTAGGGGCTGGAGTCAGAATGTGTGGCCTGCGGTGCTGTGCTGTGTTTCTTGGTCCTGTCCAGGCAGGCCTGTGGGCCACCAGCACAGTGTTGGGGAACATCAAGCAGTGTACATCACTCCTTGATGTGCAGTGTGTGTGTGAGCTGGGGGTTTTGCAAGTCTGGATGTGTTTGGAGAGAGGGGCCACTGGTAGAGGATGTAGTTGAATGTGTCGAGTTGGGACTGGGAGATATTTCAGGGTAGAGGACTCTGGAGGACTCTGGAGCCCCTTTGCTGGAATGATAGAGAATTTCACAGCTGGGAAGGTCCAGGACTGACCAGTGGAATAGACTCTGGCCTTAGAGCCTGAGAAAGGCTCTAGAAGCTAGGCTTACAGTACTAGGGGATGCCCATTTAGTTGCTGGGTGGTGGGAGGTTTGGAGAGGGGCAGGGGCAGAGGAGGGTTACGGGCACTGAAGAATTTGCACATATCCCGGCAGGACTGATGTTCAGGGCTTCCTGGCCTTATAGCTCCTGTAGGTTCCTGAGCACCTGGGAAGGAGTAGTGTTAGATGATGGTGAAGTGTTCAGCTCTCAAATGTCATTCAAGGAATCCTGGGCCTGGTGGGTTCCTGAGGAAAGACCTTGGTGCCTGTCTCCCCAGGACCTTGCGAACTATCAGCCCATTCCGACGATGATCCCTCTTCATTCCTGTGTGTGTTTGTCTCTTTTTTTTCTCCAGGGAGATACTGGGGGTCCCCTGGTCTGTCAGTTTAATGACAAATGGATCCAGATTGGGATTGTGAGCTGGGGTGTTCACTGTGCTTTGGAAGAAGTGTCTGTAATTTACACCGACGTTAGATTCTACAAGGATTGGGTTTATCGTACAATGAATCAGGCTTCTATTCTGGGTTCAGGAGGATTCTTTATCCCACTGGTGCATCTGGTGTTGGCCCTGAGCACCGTGGTGACCCTGTGATCACCCTGGTCCACCCCCACTCCTGTTTCTGAGTCTCACACTAGTACTGCCTCTTCCCTCTCACTCCTACTCACTGCTGTTTCCTCAAATCCATTTGGGATCCCCTGGACCTGTGGAGATCCACATGACAGAGTTGGCAGTGGTAACGAACTCTGGAAGTTTCCCAGCCCACTGCTCCAGGAACCTTTCTCGTTCATGCTACACCATGGCCGCACTTTGTCTGCTGGGAAGGAGTGGGTAAAAACATCCCAACTGGATGGACAGTGACCTGCCAAGGTGATGCTTCAGGATGCTTCATCCACATCTTGGAGAACATCTTCACATCATCCCTAGCAGCAGCATTGTCTGACACTTTATCACATCAGTAAACATGGTGATTGTTGGGATAGAGCGAGGCCTCACCACATTTGCATGTGACTCAGTTGTCTGGCTTGGCGAAAGGTCCCCTGCTTCCCGATGTGGATCCATCTGTGAGGGTCCAGCTTCTGCCACACAAGCCTTCCTGGGGCAATTCAGTCTTGGAACCCCCTTCCCAGAGCTCCAGTGGCCACATCCAGGCTCACCCCAAGTTGTGTTGAGACATTAAGGAGGGTGGAGATTTCTGATGTCAACTCAATAAATGCTTACAGAGTCTCTTATGTGTTGTGAAGCTCTGCTCTTCTGAAGGTTGTGGGGTTGCATATAACATGCTATAGAGAACTAGTTTCCCATTTAGCTGAGGGACCTTTCATGGTGTCCATTACTCTCTAGAAAATGGGAGATGAGGAGCCTGTCTACCTGGATGGAAGTCTGATGGTGTCTTAGGCAGTGGGTCCAGCGGCCTCTTTTAGGCATTAGTGCTCCTCTTGTAGGCGTTGGCATCGCTCCAAGTGGGGCTGTTGGAACTGAGGTTGGATGGGAGCCTGGAGGCAGGAAGGCAGAGATGAGGGCGTGACCCACTCACACAGCCTTGTACCTCTCATGCTGCCCCGTAAGGGACATGCCTGGAGGAGACCCTGTGGTCCTGGTGACAGGACACCTTGAATGCAGAGAGCTGAGTTCTCACAGGCTTAGGATGGAGGGTCTGGCTCTGTGTGCGTGTGTGCGGCGTCTCAATCAGCAGACGTAGGGGCCCGTAGTCACCTGGACTGGCTGCTGATCTTTCCCCAGGCTCTGCTTCCTGTCCACCCATCCTTCCTTGGTCTGTGTTCAAGCTTCCAGATATAAGTGGACCTCAGAGGAACCCTGGGCTTCCCAGGTGTCTCATTGCTAAAGAATCCGCCTGCCGGTGCAGGAGACGCAGATCGGATCATGGGTTGGGAAGATTCCCCTGGAGTAGGAAATGGCAACCCACTCCAGTATTCTTGCCTGGGAAATCCCATGGACAGAGGAGCCTGGCAGCTACAGCCCATTGGGTTGCTGAGAGTCCGAGGTGACCAGGTACACACA